TGTCTGTTAGAATGCATTTTATTGATATGTAATCATAATTCATTCATAAACTCCGCACTCTTTTCAAACTACATATGATGAGAATTTCAAACACTTCCTTATGCCAGCATCTCGTTGACATCCTACATTTGGTTTGTTTCTTAGGCCCGGAAATGTCTCTTTATTCGGGTGTGCTCAATCACCGATTTCTCTATGTATGCAAATTTGTTCTTTAGGAGAACGTTCTTAAACTGCACGAACCATAGGCAATGTCTTCGCAAATTCCTATCTCTTTACTCTCAAGCTCTTTGTTAATCAATTTCAGTTTGGATTAATCCATTTGTAGAATGATGTGGTTGATATTTCACTCTGTGATGTTTTCATACCTTCCACTACTTTTGCTTTCTTTTGCAGTTGTTGAATTGAATGGAGTTACATGCACGAGTGCTCGAGTTCATCTCTAAGTGGCCAAAGTCATCATAGCATTGAGCAGCCATTGGATCCATGGCATCGACTGTTTTTGAAACCTCGCAATAAACATTCAATCTAATCTTCAAGAACATTCTAAGCCTTACCCAAGGTTGGCACGCCAGGGTCCTACATCGGTGTTTCGGAGGTCTCGCCCTACTCGTGAGTGGCCCACGCCTCACCTTAAGCCCTGCATTGTAGCAAGGAGGGGAGGTCATATGTGGTTTCGGCGCAGTGGACAATGACGCTGGTCCATCACCACTTTTTCCAGTCGATGCATCGCAGTTGGTAGAGCAAAACTGATCGTTTGCATGCAATCAAGATGAATTGAATGTTTATCGCGAGGTTTTAAAAACAGTTGATGCCATGGATCAGTTTTGCTCTACCAGCTGAGATCCATCGACTGAGAAGTGGTGATGACACTCGTGTTATTGTCCCACTGTGCCATCACCACATACGCCTCCCTCCTTGCTACAGTGCAGGGCTTGATGCGGGAGCGTGGGTCACTGACGAGGAGGGGCGAGACCTCCGAAACACGCGTGTTTGACCCTGGGAGTATCAAACTTCGGGCAAGGCTGTAAACATTCTCAAAAATTAGATTAAGCAGAGTCAAAGGAGTGGTGAACTTACTGAGGTGGTTGGAACAAGAAGCATACGGTATTGCTGGCAGACTTCAATGATCCGTTACATGGTTTGTATGTGGTCCGTGCAACAGAATCCCTTCCATAGATGTGCTCGCTCAATTGGGCGCACATCACTAAGGTTCTGCCTGTGCTTCAGAAAGATGATCATCGTGGTAAGTTCGTGGAGTACACCTGACGAAGATGCTAACAAGAATAATCTGATAACATGGAACCATGTTTGATCCTGCTATGAAATCTCTCCATGGCACTTCTGCACTGCTAGACAGGTGTCTGGTTGCCTTCCGGACTCCCCAGTATCACAGTCTCTCTCGGGTTCAGCCGATCACTTGGGAATATATCCTTACATAAATCGAACGCCAAATTATAGATTAGCAAGTCAGGTGACAAAATGTCCCAACATTGCAGTGACCATAGTCAAGTTAAGTATGCTACTGAGGATACGCGGAATGACGTAACAGGCGCCTGTTCAGCACTCTACAAGCACACATATCAGGTCTCATAGCAACTTCAAACATGTTGTCATGTTATCAGACTATCAGTGTTTGAGCGAAGTCTGTATAAACGGTTTACAGTAGAATATACTATATTACTGCGAAGATTATTCGTCGCTCTTTATAAGTATGATAATTATAAGCAAGGTCCTCCATGGTCTCAGATTTTATCTTTTCGAAGGGTGCGATATCGTGAATTTTTTGAGAAGAACATGAAGATGTGGGTCACTATCTCCGAGGAAAGAAGTAGTGAGGCTATCAGATTCTGAGGTTGAGCTTCTTTTCATGCCTACTTTCGCAAGCTAAACTTTAGAAGGCTAAAATCCCAGTTGATTTTTTTACACAACTGGGATTTCGGAGACTGAGACAGAGTTTGTGGGACAAGATTAAAATGACATAGAATTTTTCAGTTATCAGTCCCATAATCGTGACGAGATGTAGTGGTGACTCCATATTCATTAATCAGCGCAGATAAACAACATAATAGTTGTAGAAATCCCAATAGCATTTTATTAGCCTGGCCTCCTATTACTGTTAGTAATCCTTCCACTTAGACTAGATTGTCACATCTTCGGCGGCCGCTAGTATTAGTAGGAGGGGTGGATTAGTGGCATGGTAGTGATGAGACGTGAGCGTTAACTACGAAACATCCGCGTGCCACTTGCCATATTAGACCTCACAAAGGCTTTCAAAAATCTATGAGACTATGTTGCGTAAAAAAAGTTCGAGATTAACCCTTCGAGGACTAGCGCTGATAGGTAGGCTGCGTGCCCCGCTTGCGAGGCACTCTTAGAGGCGACATCTGCGTGTTTGTGCAAGAATGTCGTGCTGCCTGTGTCTGGCGTTCACCACGAGCGCCTTCATTCTCACGATGCGAAACGCCGACGGTATAGTAGCTAGTTGAGACCGAGAAAATTGAGAGTGAGAAAAGGATAGTGGAGAGTGCGCCCTACAACAAGTTTTCTACGAAGCTGGAGGCTATATCTCTAAGGAAAATGACAATGTGACGCAGAGAACAATCAGTAGGCTCTTTCTGTTTACGAGTGAGCAAAACAAAACGATCTCATTCGCTAGAGGGGAAGTTTTATAAGAGTGTTAGTCACCATTCGAAAGCAGAGACTTGAGGCTGCAAACCCACTTCGACGGTTTTTCAAAAACATCCCTATATAGCGCTGTAGAACCAGATTAAAAATCATGTCTCACACTGGCCTTTTGTCTTTAATTATCACGCGTGAAAAAGATACCAGCGTGTGTAGAGAAATTCTCTTAGTATCTTACTCAATTGTACTATCTGGAGTTTCTTTCAAAGCTGAAGGAAAATTCCCAACCCGGTAAACACTCACTGCCAGGATCCCAGCACTTCTAGTATTCAACTCGTTATTCGTCTCTTAAACGGCGTAGAATACAGACTGAGCGAGCCTAACCGCATTCTCGAGGATAGCCTGGCTGTGACGTTCAATAGGACGTTCATGTTGGCTACCGAAGAAAGATGGGGAATCGAGCTTGGCTTCACGGCCGCCGCGACGAGCATCATAACCACTCCGTCACGGCGCCCCTTCGTTAAACAGCCTTACCAAAAGTGTAAAATCCGATCTTATTTTCCTTGCTTAACCGTATTTCTAGAGATTAAACACATCCTTAGAATTATGAAAATTGCGCTATCAGAGGATTACTAACTCAAATGAGAACTCTGGCCCGCTGTGGTTAAAAACACAGATCAAAAGTGCATAGCAAACATTTTGAGTTCCTCAAAATTTGTGCTATCGAGTGAGAGTACTAGCACTCTGAGGAAGAAACTTCGTCTAGCGAAATATAAGCGACATAGGAGAGTTACAACATGTGGTTTTATGAGACATGATTTATTCTGAATGTTACAGCGTTATAAAGAGGTCTTTTGTAAAACCAGCGGCATAGGCTGTAACCGCAAGTCTCAGCTTTCGAGTGGCTACTAATACTCTGCGAAAAGTTCTTCTCTAGCAAATGAAATAGGTTTTTCGTTTGTTCCTCCTCACCAGAAAGAACACAAAAATGATTTCGGAGATTGTGATAAATTGGAATTTTTCGATCCGATCTCAACTGTAAAACACTGCTGAATGCTGCAATCTTTGTCATTTCACGTGTTTTACTTATTTTTTTAGTCCACTACGACCCCAATATGATTTCCTGTTCCTCGTCCCTTCCTTACTTTTTACGATAACTTTAGTGAGACCGCCTGTAGGTGGCTTTGGAAGGTCAATCAGTACATGACAGATCTCTAATATATCTCACCGACCCGGACAGAGGGATGACTTGGTGAGACGTGAGCGTGACTTCAAGTAATCGACATTCAATGCGACGCAGAGCACCTAACCACTGACCACATGCGCTCTTCCCCTTAAAATTGAGTAAATGGGCGTTCTTTTCACGAAAAACGCGCTATTAAAGTATGTTCACTAGCATCTTATCTATTCACGATAATGAACTTTCACCCATTATCGGAGCTTTTTCAATGGAATTCCATCATTTTGTAATGATAATGCTCCCTCAGAACCAGGGCCCATCCCTCGCAATCTATCATACTGTCAGTCTTCTCACGTGATGCGCCGCCTTTTCACGGTGAGCGGCGCTGCCATTACGCTAGCTGAGCAACGTCGCGCGTCGTTGTGACAAAACGTTTCACATGATTTTCAAAAGGTTCATGGCAATTGCACAGTAGAATAGTTAAGCTTTGATGACTCTTGGCATTGATGAGTGTGCGTTATGTGTCATATAGTCGATCAATTCTATTGACGAGTTCTGCCACGTGAGTTTTGATGAGGAGGAACGGGTTGCGTTAAATGATATCAACTTGCACTACTAACCAACGACCTATATACAATGAGTAGAGCAGTTCCACAATGATGTAATCACACATTAGCGATAAATAACGAAATGATAACGATCATTAATGCATGAGGCTGAAATAGGTGAAATTAGCGGCCGAGCTCCGTATATCGCCGGTATCGAGCTGTCGGCAAATAGCACTGCTGTGAGCGTGACTATATCAGCCATTAGTTATTCTGCAAGTATTAGCCTGTGATTAGCGTAAGAAATTAACACGGGCCATTTGGGATACGGAAAAGCGAGCCAGTTGCTATCACCCATTTGTGGCTCTGCTAAGGTTGCAACTAGATAATTCTATAGCGACATAAGAAAATAGGAGTTACTCTGGAGATTAGCTGCTACAAGAAGTGTCCCTTACTTTCAAAGACATATCACCTTGCACAACTGAGCGACTAACGTTAGGTCTTTTGTTTAATGGCATCTAGCGACTAGTCAACAGTTCTAAAATTCACAAATTATGATTACACACACAATCAAAATTTATTTATTTGACCGCCTCTTGCGGTGATATGGTCTTATAAAAACCCAATAATGTGGAATGCTGTGCAAAAGCATCTGCGTCAGCTGGAATTCGAACCCAGATCTCACTCTTTCCGGGAGCGTGTGCTAAATCGTTGCACCATCGACGCCTGTTTTGCACAGCACTAACAGATAACGCGTTTGTGCGTAAAAAGAGTGCTGGGCAAGACGGGTGTCGGTGGGTGAAACGGTTCAGCACACGCTCCAGGAAAGAGTGAAATCTGGATTTGAATCCCGGCTGACGCAAATGTTTAGGCACAGCACTCCACATTATTGGTTACAGATACACTTAAAGTGCTTTGCCATTCTGCAGGCTATCCGCAATTTTCACTGCTACTGTCAAGACTCTGTGTAGTAAATCGTTTGACAACCAACATCGCCCGCTATTCAATAAAGAAGCATGATGAAGGACAGAATTGAGAAAACAAGTGTCATTAAAGTACTGTGAAGACTCTTTGAAGCAGCGTTTATAGTAAAAACTAAGCAAATAAATAAAGAGAAACATAAAAAACGTAGAATGAGAAGAAAGATTATTATAACAATTACTTTGGAGAGAGAGAGAGAGAGGAGAGAGAGAGAGAGAGATACGAAGTGTAAATCCAAGTGAATTTGGATTCTAATGTGTATTCCATCTCTATGAGCTCGGTAGAAGGCTAATAATAGCTTTCATTAGACGTTCGGTTTTCAGCTCATCACAAATTGGATCAAACCCTTCTCACCTTGTGATCGACACATGGTTTACCTCCAAGGTTGTGTGAAATTATAGATAACATTCATTTTGATCTATTGCATTCATGTCGCCATATGGAAAAAATATGCATCCAGGTAGTACCGTCTAATGAAATCGAATGGATGGGGTATTACTGCGGAGTTAGGCAAAACTCTTCGATTTTATAGTGTTGCTCTTTGAGAGATGCAGTGAATGAATTGCAGTCCAGTGCTTCAGTCGATATTATCAGACGTTCTTTACTATTTCAAAGCGCGGTTTACATTCTCATGTATATTTCTTACTGAGGAAAACCGTCAAAGGCAAAGCTAGAGAATAAAGCGCAAAAAAATTGGATCAAGCTATACCGATGTTGCTCTTCAATGAGACAAAAACTTCTCCTTGAACTTCTCCATCAAAACGCTAAATAATAATGCTTTTTTTATAATTCGTTTTATTGTACAGTGAACTTTTAGATGATGAAAAAGTCAGCGTGTTGATATTTGCTCACTGGTATATTGACCATGAGAAATGCTCGCAATAATGTGGTTATTAAATTCAATCTGTAAGTGACAAAAAACTAAACATCGAGATATACGTTGGACTTCATTTGAATTGCGCTCAACTAGGAAATCAGGTGAGATTGTTTGGCTCAGAAAGGTTGACGAGCTTTGCATAAATGTAATAATTTGATTTTGTATTACTATGATATAACATAAGAGCCGTTATTGAAAAATGTAAAGAACTTTCGTCATGATACCTAAATTTCCTCTGTAATTGAACAGTTTTTGAAAGAAGTTGCTAACATTTTGGGATTTTGGCTTTGATCCATGTTTGAATTGTAGAATTCTTCAACTCCAAATATTAAGAGTTGGCTGACAAATGTAATAAAATCGTCCAAAAACTCATCACCTGCCAAGTGATCTGGCTTGCAAGAGTGGTGGATTCCTAGTGTTTATTGATTTTTTTGGTATAACTCAAAGTTTCCAAAGGTGCCTCCAAAGGCAGATCGTATCATATGCAACTATTACAGGTGATTGCTCAAAATTCACTGAAATCAGCTATCATGTGTTATCAGTCAGATTTTCTTTTCATCATCGGATTCCCGATGACACATAATAAATTGCGTTCAGAAAAAGCAATGAAAAAATGACTCATATTTTTTTGCCATTGTAGAACGAAAACTAGATACTGGTTGCCATCATGAAAATGAATATAGACCGATCTGTGGCATCGGCATTCAGCTGACCAACAAGAAGCTTTTCTTTTTTGTAATAAATTAGAAGTTCAATTTTCACTAAACCTTGGCACCATTGATCACAACAATATTGTTTTATTTTTGAAGACAGCAAAGTTGGTACATATTCTCTAAGGAGCTGACTGACGTCTAAGAAAATTTGTCTACCTATCACTCTATCCGTAAACAACGTTTTTCAGATATACAGTTATCATTCTCGATAGCTATCAAAACCAATTCTGGAACTCTCGAGATATCCTTCCATTAAAGAAAGGCCTACTATTCAACTTCTGATCTAAAAACCATTCATGTGCTGTCACATAAATAAATTTGAACTGCGTGACCATTTCATCATTGAGACATTTCTTATTACTATTTTCTTGGATCCTTGATCTACAATACCTCAGTGCTTTTTGAAGGAATAGGTAATTTGAGCACAACTGATGCAGTCTCATCTCTGCTGATACGATAGCACATATCACGCAATCCTTTATGCAGACGGTTTTATTGGCGATTCCGATTTAGATTTCAAGCTTACGATTTGCGGAATTTCATAATTCTAGTAAGGATAGACCAGCTGGACGGATTTCGTTAGATATAGGAAATGTTTGACCAAATAATTCTAATATATAATACATCTTGACAGCATAGTTTAAGCCTTTTATGAGGTCATTTATGGAACTTATAACGTGCAGGATCCATGTTCCGACCTTTCAGCATCATGAGGAGCACCGGTGCCTTTTTTTTGAACCAATCTCTTGTACTGTGTCTTTACGGGCAAATCAATTACGCTCTAGCGCAATAGTGATTAATGTCGATTGTCGCTTAGTTGGCTAACGGCTATTGCGTCAGCATAATATATATATATATATATATATATCATATTATATGATTGATTTACGCAGTATATGTATTATAACAGGGTGTTTCACCGGCAAAGCGCGGTAGTTTGATGTCGATGTCGGGCTGCGCCGAACTCAACATTCCTTGGGCTCAATGCATTAAGAAGTACTTTTCAAATCCTAAACATATTGTTGGAATCGACGAGCTTTGAGCTAGCGAATTCCTCAGCGATCAAAAGAAAAGCTTTTAGACAGGCGAAAAATTTTCCATAGAGGAACATAACTTTATTTTGCTTTTACAGCGCAGCAAGAAAGCCACATCAGAAGTAAACTGCACCGTGAAATCTTTGGAATTCAAGATATTGAATAAATACCGAAGCTCGAGTAAAGCAAAAGGCGCGTTTTTTTCAAGGAATCAAAAAAGCTGCGGATGACGGAATTAATTTTAATTTGCAAACCTAATCATCACTCCATGGATTTGAACTTGAGGGATCCCGCCCGGTTAGTCGAGAGGGCACGCGGCTCGTCCTCAGGCGGTGGATAAGGGAAACTCAATGCGAACCAAAAGCGGTCGCGTGCTTCCCAAGACGCAGGAAGATTGAAGGCATAGCTCTCTGCTTTTGCAACGCCAATTAATAAAAACTTTATTTCCACGAGTCAAGTCTGCCAAAAGCCTGCAATCAAGGAGCTGAGAAGTACATGAGAGGAGGTTCGGAATACCTCCAACAACTTAGCTCTCACCGCTCTTCCGGGAGAAACTGACAAGCTACTTGTGAGTGCCCAGTACCCACGTCTAGAGCCTAGCAAAGCTATGCGCAGGGTTATCAAATGCTAAGAATAGCAACAAATATGGGCCTTGTTTCCTTGGACCCCGAAAAAACCCCGGGTGCAGCAACGCCAGGTAGGTTGAGTACGGGAGAGGTTCGCTAAAATTTCAGCTCCAATAGGCTGCCAAAATCCTAAACGGACTAAAATGACGATCTGCACCTGTAATGAATGAACACTTGCTCACGAATCAGCTATAGCAGATCTACTGATTCATGCATGGAGGATAAGGTACGACGTCATTCACCTAAATGAGACAAGAAGAGACCATCCCTTTTTCACCCTGTTTGAGGCACCGCAGAAGAGTTTGTTTTTAGGGAACATGCGATTCGCAGAGGGTCGACGTCGCTGACGACTTCGTCAAATCTTTGACCGTGAACATCGATTTGTTTTGAACAGCTAACAAACCGTGTCCTGACGACTGTGGTTGAAAGGATTTGGATCAATGCCGGCCTTGACCGTTTTCGTTGCCTGCGCTCCAACATCAAGCTATGACTAGACAAAATCGAAGCGCTCTACATGGACCTTAAAAAAATTTTTTTAGAGAAGACCGTATAATCTCCAAAGTCATTGTTAGGGATTTGTGATGCGAAAAGTGGACAGCGAAGAACGTCCTGAAGAACGTCACCATCGAGACCCACTGACTAGAATGGATTGAACACGTGATGAGGCTATCTGAGTTTATCATGACGACCCAAACCATTCATGGTGAAACACAATTCCAAATACCTCGCTCTCAACGATGCGTGGGGAGTCCTACCCAATGGAAGGTTGACCATAGACGACAATAGATCACACATTATAAATCCAAGGTTTTGTCTGACCGATATCGCTGTTGTTTCTAAGTTCTACAAGGAATCAGCAATGTTCCATTTCTCGCGTAAGAGAGAGAAAGCCGCTAAATTTATAAGCAACCAAGTCATAGAACTACCATAACTGGGATGTGCACATCTAGTAGTTATTAGTCGGCTCTTGGGATGATATCGTTGAATAACTTCACGTTAGCTTTATGAAGGCCGATGGTCTTCGAGTCACGAAGAGACGCATGTCCTCCGCCGGCACTCGAGCTGATATGTCAACGTGGAATCGCACGAGCTACAGGCAACCAAAGCCTTACGTTTCGAACTTGCGAAACGCCGCAGAGGAAGACCTCAAAGAGAGACGAGCAGCAATTGAGAGGGCGCAGAAGCTGGAAGCAGGAGCAACCCGCAAAGCCTAGCGAAGCTTCGTCAATTATAGACCGTTATGACTGCACTTACGATGCCCGGATGGAGCCCTTGCAATTTCCGGAAGGGCAATGGAGAACATCATTTACCACTACTAATGAAATCTCCTCGCTAGCCATATCTCCTTACCGCCATATAAATTGTAAGTGGACGAGTGTGTCGTTCCTACAGTCCCTCTTTTCTAAAATCCGACGTGCTGTATAGTCGGGTGAACAAGAACAACACCCACAGAGAATTAGATCAGAACACCCGGGAACCTTCCTCCAGTTCTCCT